TGGCTGGCTAAAGCAAGAATGACAATTGCAACAACAAAAATAAAATAGCTGGGTGTTGTGGGGGATGCCCTGTAGTCCCACCTACCTGGGAGGCTGAGGCAAGAGAATCGCTTAAGCCCAGGAGTTGGAGGTTGCTGTGAGCTGTGACACCACAGCACTCTACCCAGGGCGACAGCTTAGAGGAAGAAAAGAAATATACCCCTGCATTGTGCACATTAGGTGAGATCCCACCAAATGCCCTCCCTCCTCCCACCACTCTCCCTCCCCACTTCTTCTCCCTTCTCCTCGCCCCATGCAATTTTAAGCCCAATGCAGGTGACACTGAGCAGAGGGCTGGAGAAAGAGGAGTGAGCAGCACCTTTATGAGGGGGTCTTGCTATTTTGTTTCCCTCTAACAGGAACCTCAGCTAGTTTCCCATCTGAAGCACTTATGGTTGGCTAGGGTCATTATCAAACTATTATATATCATTTAAAAATGGCTCTTTACACCTTCATTGTCATTTCCTTTCTCCTGGCCTTTTGACAGTGTGTCTGGGGTTAGTTCTCCTATCCACATGTCCACCCCAGGTTTTTTCAGGAGCACCCCTCCACCCCCGAAATTAATTCTACCGCTGTCCTGCAGAAGAGCAGTTCTGCAGTCTGGCCTGCTTTATCACACTGTACTAACTTCCGGGTGGTTATGTGGGTAACAAGGGTCTCTAATAGAAACCAAGGGGGGAAGGAGACCAGCCAAGAAACTAGATAAGTATTTATTGCTTTTGTAGCAGAGAAGACCAAAAATGGGTAGTGCCCAACACTTTGATTGAAGGCTGTTGTATATTTTGTGTGTATTCCGCGTGGCATATTCCAGCTCATTCAGACCTCCCACAGTGCTTATTAGCACATTGTGTGCCTCGGTTCTTCTAAGCATATTGCCCACAGGAGAGGTCACACTGTCTTCCTATTTTGGGTATCCAGCAATATTTAGGAAAGGATCATTATCCTGGTAGATTTGGGGGTCTTTGGGGTTGAAGATCTTTTGTATTGATTCTGGAAGTTCTAAAAATCTAGACGCCTTCAACAGATCACATGTGACAGGTCTGTAATACTGTCATGATTTTAAATTAGTGTTAATGAATAAACTTAATTCACCATATAAATTAATTATGTAACAAAGACTTGCTCTCACCTGCTACAACAATTATCATAAAATTAGAATGAAATGTTTTTATTTTCAGCTTTACAGTATAAAAATATTGGCCTCAGAAATTACATTTCATCAACATATATC